TTATATGAATGAACCATAATTTATTTAACTAGCTATCAATATACATACAAGTTCTAATGTTTTGTTTTCCTGTTATTTGAAAGAAAATACCCTTATTGTCATGTTGAATACTGCGTAATTATAGCTATATGATATATATACATACAAGTTCTAATGTTTTGTTTTCCCATCATTTGAAAGTAAATACCCTTATTGTCATGTCGAATACTGCGTAATTATAGCTATACGATACAGCGTCTGTCCCTACCAGGACATTCACTTAGTCAAAGGAAAAGCACATTAAACATATTTATAGACAATGATGCATTAGCAGCTTGGTATTAGAGTAGCTATCTCCTCCAGCTTATTAAAGTTTTACATCTTTGCCTATCTGCCAAGCCAACAATCATTTTGCGCATATGTGTTTAATGAAAAGTGGGATATCCTATATTTCTGAGTCATTTTTCTCCTGTTGTTATAGGATAGATACTTTGTTCATTGTGCTAGCAGCATGTAGGACTTCTTTCTGATTTGTAATAACTCTTTTTTCTTTTCTTTTTTTTTTTTTTGAGAGGTTTTTGCTATAGGGCATGTGTGCTCGCCAGGAAGACAGAGAGAGACAGAGAGACAGAAAGCAAGAAATTACTCCCCAGGGGGGATGACCACACCACAATCCCTTTTCCTCCATTCTCCTCTCAGGATCTTCGGCACGTGCACACACACACACCCGGCATGAGTTTAAGCCACTGGGTTTGGGACTTGAACCACGGTCGACTACATGGGAGTCCAGCAACATAGCCATTACGCTAACGGCTGGTCCTATAACTCTTTATATGTTAAGAAAATTAGGCCTTTTTAATAGATGTTACAACTGCATTGATGCTACTTATCATTTTTATTTCATCTTTATTAATGTTTGTTTTTTTCTACTCCTTCATTCTTTTTTATTTCTTTAAAGTATATCTTTCGAACCAGCCTCCATGGTAATGTGCGGAAGTTCTGTGTTAGAAGCACATGGTTGTCTGCAGGCCCAGATCCCTGGTCCTGTCAACCTCAAAACGCTGGGTTCCTAAGACTCTCATAAGCTGAAGATCTGGGAAAAGGGATCACCAATATGACTAGACCCTGTTTAGAGTGCTTCTCCATCTGTCTCGTCATGAATAAAATGCATTTAATAACTCGTACATTTCCTGAAGTCAGTGGTAGCCTTTCGTCCTTTGTGGAGCATTGTTTCTTCAAGCCTTCCCTACTTACTCCTGCACTGGTTTTGGCAACGTTGATTCTGGCTTTCATTTTCCTTTATGTGGCTTTAATCTGTAACATTGAACTTTTCCTATTTGTCTCCTTCTTTGCTATCTTACACATCTTATTGTAGCTATTAACACAAAGAAAAGCCACTTTTTTTTTTTAGCTCCTTTGGGCTCACCAAAGATCTTAAAATCTGCTCCGTGGCCTAGTTCTTCTGTAGCAATTATTTCTGCATTTGTCTTTTTTCTTCTTCTTCTTCTTCTTTGTTTTGTTTTGAAGATGCTTAGGGGAGGGAGTGCTTCAAAATTGTCTCAAAACACTTTCTCATCAAATTCTCTGCCTCTTCCCTGCTGGTCACCTGTCACTTTGCAGTAATCAGCATCTTCCTGGCCGTTTCTTTCCTTTAGGAGAGGAAGTCTGTGTACCTTGTGGGATTTCTCTATATTACAGGTTTTCTGAGGATAGTTTGCATTTTTTTGTTTTGTTTTTCAGTTCACATTCCTCACTGTCTGTCAAGTGATTGCCATTTATACTTCCTGCTGTACCCTGTGCTTCTCCCTTCTTGATTCTTGAGAAAAAAAGGAAAAGGGAAAAAGAAGGTGTGTACGTGCACACAGAGCCTTTCAGCCTCAGTGTGGCTGCTGTGTTGAATCCATCCAAGGACCTCCACTGTTGCTTGTCCTCATTTTTTTTTAATCCTCTTAGTAAGAGTTGGTTCAGCTATTTCTTAGATTGATTTTACCTATTTCCTGGATTTTTGTTGTTGTTGTTGTTGTTTTACTGTTTTAATCTGTAGGATTTTTTCTGCTTTGAGTATTTTCCCTTTGTTCTGTTTAATCTTACCATATTTATTAACCTTGGTTCCATGTCCTTTGTGCTATTAAGGCTATCTCATGATTTCACTGAAGTTTTTTTTCAATGAGTTTTGTTGTTTTTAGTTTTGTTGTTTTCAGTGGATAGAGAGGCAGTAGAAATATCACTACTCTACCACCTTGAACAGAACAACAAACTAACTATAGTAAGCAGTAACGTGCTCACTAGGTATCTACAAGATTGTCTTGTACCAGTGTCTACTTGATTGCTTGAATAGAAGACCTCAGAATTAAAAAAAAAAAATCATGAGAAAATTAGGTTAAAGTTCTTGAAACCATTTAAAGTATAATTGAATCAGATGCGTGTGCAGGCATCCCAGCGCTACAAGTGCAGTTGAAGTATTGATTGCTGAGATCTCGAGTGCTAGGGAGGCAGTGGGACTGAGACCGTGGTTTCAGGAATGGCTGATATTTGAATCGGTGTTGGAAGAAAATTCCAAGCAGAATACAGAATACAGCCGGAACCACTGTTCTTAGTTCTCTGTCAGTATTTCTTCACTGAGAATAGTCAGGGCTCCTGGGACCTGTTGGAAGGCTAGCTGTATGAAAAGTGAATAGGAGTGGGAGTGCTAAAATAGAATGCATGTTACAGAGGCTGGCGGCTGAGGGAGGACAGGACGGTGTGAGGGGATGGATGGGGAAATGATGATGATCAAAGGATACAAAGTCTCAGACAAGAGGAATATGTTTTCGGTGGTTTTTTTTTTTTAAGTCCATTTATTTCTTCCATGTGAGAGAGAGAAGTGGAGAGATGAAAGAATCCCCTAAAGAGCCCGCCTGCTTCAGTACACCCCAGCCCCAGCCAGCCTGAATCCCAGGTAAACCTCAGGACTGGGACATGTGACCCTCCCATATGTCTTCCGCATTGCAGAGTAATGCTACCATTGAAGCACTGCGGCTGGTCAATTTCTTTTTTTTAACTCTAATGGATAGTGTGGTGAATATAGTCAATATTAGTGTATTATTCATTTCAAAATTCTAAGAATACATTTCAAAGGGTTGCCCCACCAAAAAGTAAGTATTTGAAGTGATGGAGATGATCATTGGCTTGATTTAATTATTTCATATTGTATTGATAAATTGTAATGTCACTTTGTAACCCACAAATTATGTGTGTGTGTGTGTGTGTGTGTGTGTGTCAACTTACGGGGCCAGCAAAGGGTGTGGTAGATAAGGCACTGGAATCCCTTATGGTCGACAGCAGTTCAAGTACTTGACCTGGTGGCTTTTACTTCCTCACTTTCCCTCTTTCTCTCGTGTCTCTCTCTGGTGCCCTATAGCAAATTTTAAAAGGGTAACAAATGTAGTTGAAAAATGATCACCTTATAATGAAAATGAAAATAATATTTTTTAAAAAGAGCATATGGACATATAGAAGAATTTTTGAAAGTTTGGCAAGCATATCTTAGATTTGGAATGGAGCCCTCCAAGTTTGTTTGAATTGGGGAATGAGATAATGAAAACTGTGTTTAGGGAGACTATTAACAATTGAACTATTAACAATTCAATCCCATTCAGACTTGGTGAGTCCACCCAGTATCACACTGGGTTCAGTTGCATGCAGAACAGTGTTGCAAGCAATTCTCATCTCAAGAAATTTAGTCTGGTGGTCAAGAAACTGATCTTGAAAACTTTGACTCGGTACAATTTCAGTGCCAGAGTTGAACATGGTGTAGCCTTTCTGAGTTGCTAGTCAGATTCTCCCATGGTAATGGATGCTGTCAGCCATGACCTTGCACCATGTAAACAGATTCTATGGTTTTATGGGATACGTTAGTCTACTCTGAGTCACTGGAATCCAGTTGTATCTTATAAATTTAGCTACATTTTAAGCAGTGGCATCTTCCATTCTATCTTTCTTTCTTTTTTTTGGAGAGGTTTTTGCTATAGGGCGTGTGCACTCGCCAGACAGACAGAAAGCGAGAAATCACCCCCAGGGGGATGGTCACGCCACAGTCCCTTCTCCTCCATTCTCCTCTTGGGATCTTGGGCACGCACGCACACGTGCCCAGCATGAGTTTTAAGCCACCAGGTCCAGGACACAAACCGCGGTCGACTATGTGGGAGTCCAGCGACATAGCCATTACGCTAACTGCTGGTTCCCCATTCTATCTTTCTGTATCCTACTGAACACTCATCCCTCTTCAACTCCTCTCTTCCTGCCTCCACACCTCCTCTCAGCTGTCCCCTGGTGACCTTTCCTTTTCTGACATCGTTTTATTCCCCTATACAGCCCCAATACATCCTGATACTTTTCCTATAGTCATTTTTAGATCAGTCTTGCCTAACTACAGACAACTGGAAGGCATTAATAATCATCGCATTTTATTTATTTATACATCCCATGTTCCTCCAGAAGATGATTGAGCATGTTTCGTTCAATTTATTGTGTTTTGACCTTTGTTGGGGTGGTGGACATCCAATTAAGGAGGGGTCAATATTTTATGAACTAAGTACACACATGATCGATGGAGGAGTTTTTGTTCTTGTTTTTTTGTTTACAATTTTTATCTACTTGAAAGTCTTACAAAAACAAATTATGTTTATCAAATTAACTTTATAGGAAAAAAGACCAAGTAGTGGAGACTCTTCTAGCCAATAAAAACGTGTTGACACAAAACATATTAGATATAGCTTAAATACAAATGGTTTCTTTGTAAACATGCACATATGACCTCTTAAAATGGATGTATGGCTTGCGTGTAAATTTGGCTTCAAATATTGATATTTATGATATCAGGCATTTATATTTTATGAAAGAATAACTGTTACAGTCCTGCAGCTCTTATCCCTTAGCAGCTGTGTTCAGCTGGTGGTCCACATTCCGCGCTACTTCTTCAGTGAGTAGAAACATTTAGGTCAATATTGATATAAAACGTCATGAACTTTCTTCTCTTTCAGCTTTGGTTCGCCTTTGTTAATGGATTTTCTGGGCAGATTTTATTTGAACGTTGGTGCATCGGCTTGTACAATGTGGTAAGCATTCTCTCTCTCTCTGATAGCTGCAGAACTTCAGTGACATTCTTTCACTGTTTACGTCTGGGAAGTGTATCTAAGTCAATCATCTGTATACTTAGCAGGCAGCACAAATATATCTTTAGGCCCTTTGTTGCTGCAACACATCCTGCAGAAGCCCAAACTCCCCACACATGGTTTCAATCATAGCAGATCATTCTTGAATAACCCCATGAAATTATTAACCCATATATCTTGATAATAGACCCTTGTTACCCCCTTACTAAATGCCTGTGCGACATTTTCACGTTTTTAGCGCAAGTGAAAATGTGTGAACCACATCTAAACTCATTCCACGTCATAATTTCACTTCTTCATTCTTATACATAGAGAGACATCCACAGGATAAGATCTGGTGTTCTTTTGGTCGTTTTTGAGAGAGTATTGGTCCTGGTGAATGTTTTCTTCCACAGTTAGGACTACAATAATGAGCTCCGATGTCCAGCTCGAGCAAAAAAATGGTAATGAGCTTATTTTTTAATTTTTTTAATGATTGTAGTATTCTTTTTTTCTTACTCCACTTTGATGCATTCAAAAACTAGAAAGAAATAGAAAACAATAAACTAAAATCACTGTAGTTTCTTGACCAAAAGAACGAAGGGGCTTGTTGCTGAGTGCTTCAGAGACCCCAGAAAGGCCCATGTCATAGCTTGCACTGTCCCACCACTTTGTGCCCTAAGCCTACCATCCTCTGCTTTGCGGAAGGTTTTTTGTTTGTTTGTTTGTTTGTTTTGGGGGGTGCGTCTTCAAAACTTCATGGAAAATGCATATTATGAAAAAATTATGCATGTATTTTCAAGTTTTTTTGAACCAAAATAAACTCACACTTCAATCCCATTTTTCTACAAAACTTTTGAAGTCTCCTTTTACAGTCTACAGCTGCCATCATAGATGGGTGTGATAGATGTTACCAGACATATGACACTATAATTTGTGGGGTGCTATCAATATTTATGGCTCATATATCCATTGGTGGCTAGATATTCAAGTCATCCATGCATTAACCCCGTTTTCTGCTGGATGCTGGATAGCAATTGCTAATGACAAGAGTCCTGTGTGGCTTACTGGCTAACGGGGTCAGATGTGTCGGCTCAGATGCCACCAGGGCCGGGTTTAAGATTAAACTGTGTCTTTCTGTTGGTAACTGCGTTACTTTCTGCAGAGTGCACTAGCACGCGTGTGCTGATGTTGACGCGCTTGGAGACAAAGGGGAGGGAGGTGAGAGCAGGGCTGAATTGATGTCCATTTTGCTCCTCTGCTAGAAAACTATCCTAGCCCCTACCCCATAAAGAGCAGCTCCCAGGACGAAGGGGAGATCAGAGGTTTGTAACTGTGCAGGAATTGAAATTATTTTGAGTAGGTTAAAGTTTTGCAACCAAAATAGGCTGATCATCTCATGATAATTCAGTTCTAAAAAGTGGCAAGTATCATAGAGTTGACCCTGCGTACACAACCATGCCACGCGTCAGTTTTACAAGTGGGAAGCAGAGAAATGTGCTTTAGCGCTAAGGACAGGACTGGGATGCAGGTCACTTGATTACAGTCTGAGCAGACTGGAGCTCTATTTTCATGTTCAGGGCGTGAGGGCTGAATTCTTTTCTTAGTTCCGTGTGGCCTTGGACAACTCAGATTAATCCAACATATTTTATTCAGTGCCTGCTCTACACAGGACGCTGGAGCCTAAAGACGGGCTCAGTCAGAATAAAGCCTGTAGACCTCTTGCAGGAAAATAACCAGGGTCTGTTTGAAAAATGTGGATTCCTGATCCCCACTCCAACTTACCAAAGAGTGTCTCAGAGATAATCCATTCTAAACAAATTTTAAGAGCAGTTACGCACATAAAATTGTAAGACCCACAGTCTTAACTTTATTGACCTTTGATTCCTAGGGTCGTGAACGTTTTATGCATTATTTTGTCCCTTAAGCAACTGAAAAAGGACTTTGTGGCAGAAAGTGGATTCTAAGGTGAAAGGGCTGGAGGTTACCCTGGAGTGCATGGCTCAGGCATTGAGGCAGTCGCCAGGGAGTGCTGGCGGAGAAGGCGCTTCCAGACAGTTGGTCAGGGATCTGCGAAGTGGGCTCACAGGTCACCGGCCTCTGCAGTTGCTCCCGCTGGAGAAGCCAGACCTTTTGAGCACATAGAGATCAGCTTCTGGGGGAATTCTTTCAGTGACTCTTGTATGAAATAAAAGGAAACATAGAGAAAAGTTGTAAAAAGAGTACGAAGACCTTCCGTGTACCCTTCCCCAAGATTCATCAATGATGAGCATCTTGCCTTCATTTACATTTTTTCTTTCTTGTTCACATAGACACGTCAACATGTGTGCACATACACACAAACACATTTATCCCCCCCCCACCCCTTATAGAAGTTTTTGCCTTAGGGCACTTACACTGGCAGGAGAGAGCTAGGGAGGCAGATACAATGAGAGGAAAAGTGAGAAACCCACCCCCAGGGGGATGGCTACGCTGCACGCCATTCCTTCTCCTCCATTCTCCTCCCGGGATCTTGGGCGTGTATGCACACGCATCCAGCATGATTTTTAAGCCTGCGTGTCCAGGGTTCACACTGCAGTTGGCCATGCGAGAGTCCACTGACGTAACACTAAGCCATCCGCTGATCCTGCACCCTCCCTTTTTTAATGAATAGGGGAAGAGAGAGACTAGGAAGGAAATGAGAGACACGGTAGGCGTGTATGTCCATATATGATTTTTTAATGCCAGAGGATACTTGAGCATGTGTGAGAAAGAGGAAATACCCCTTAGTGGAGCCTGGCCATACCACACTCCTTTTCTTCCAGTGCTCAATCCTGTCAGGATGCTGGGCACACCCACAGACCCAGCACATTTTTCAGGCCGCCAGGACTGGGACTTAAACCCTGGTCTGCCACGTGGGGCTGGGCTTTCTCTGTGCAGAACTTAGCTGCTGCATTGCAGGCCAGCCCAGAGATGGGCATTGCAACAGGGTCGTGCCGTGTCATAATCCTCCTGCCCCAGCCTCCCAGTTAGTTGGGGATTACAGACACATGCCACCTTTCCCAACTTCTTCAGGTTGGCCCAGAAAATAAACCCAGACCTCCCATGGGGCCTCCAGCTTCCCGGGCAGTGGCACTCCCTGTGCACCGCCACGGCTAGGCCAGTCCAGCATGCGTTACAGGCCTCATGCCCCTGTGTTGCCTAATGAGGTAACGCATCACTGCTGAGACCATTCTCTTACATAACACAGTAAATGAACCTGTCAGAGGAGTTTATCATGAATACCATCACCAATACTATTATCTAATCCCTATTAGTCCACATTCTAAATGTATCGTTATTGTTCCAATAATGTCCTATTTAGCAATTTTTTCCAGTCCAGGATCACTCCAGAGACCTATTGCAGAAGGTCGTTTGTAACATGTAAGTTACTTGGTAGAGCTCCACTCCTCTTGGCTGGATCCTCTCTTGCCAGTTTCTTTTTTTTTGGGGGGGGAGGGGGAACGGGCAGAGAGGTTTTTGCTATAGGGCGCGTGTGCTCGCCAGAAAGAGAGAGACAGAGAGACCGAAAGCGATAAATCACCCTCCAGTGGGGGTGGCCACACTACAATCCCTTCTTCTCCATTCTCCTCTCTGGATCTTGGGCACGCACACACACGTGCCCGGCATGAGTCTAAGCCACCGGGTCCAACATTCTAACCGCGGTCGACTACATGGGAATCCAGCGACATAGCCATTGTGCTAACTGCTGGTCCCCCTTACCAGTTTCTTCAAGCAGTATTCCTTCTCTGCTTTTCTTCTTCTCTACTAGTTGTTTATGTTTGAGTCCCCAAGGTGGCGAAAGTAGCAAGTCACTGTTTCTCGATTTAATTCTCATAGCACTTGAAATAGTATGAAAGCTGACAGCATCTCCCAAAATAATGAATGAAGTGTCCCATTAGATTCTCATTATATCCATAGTCAAATTTCTATATTACGTTGGAGAAGAATGAGACTAAAAAGGTCACCAGGGAGAAAAACTATCAAGAGAGCAGGTGGATTTCGCTAAATGGTATATAATTTTTAGTGAAGCAGTATCTCTAATGTTATTTAAACTGTATCAGAACATTAATCGTGCTATTAATTCATTGAAATTTGAAGAAGAAAACTATGGACCAACCTCACTTATAAACTTAAATGTAAAAAAATCCAAATAAAATATCAGTAAATGTAGTTCAACAATACATTTTAAAAATGAAGTATTTGGCCAAGTGGGATTTAGTTCAGCACTACAAGAGGTTTAGAATAATTAAAAAAAGAAAAACTTTCTAAATATTTCCATACCAAAGAAATAAAGAAGAAAAAACACGGTCCTATGAGTAGATACAATGAAGAATTTGATGCAGTACTTCAAATACCGTGGTTCTTCAAATATGCTCGTAAAAATATGGTCAAGTAAATATGTTCATATGCTGGGTCTTCAAAAAGTTCATGGAAAATGCATATTATGAAAGACTTATTTATGGGTTTCAAATTTGTTATGCCATAATAAACTCACACTATACTCTTTTTTTCCCACAAACTTTTTGAAGTCCCCTTGTTTGATTGTGTATCTAGAAAACCCATAAGATACCAGTAGAGAAATACTAGAGTTAAAAGAGAATTTGAGGGACCAGCAGGTGGGATGGTGGTTAAGGATGCTGGACTCCCACATGGCCGGCCATGGTTCAAGTCCCAGACCTGGTGGCTTGCTTTCTTACTTTCCTTCTCTTGCTTTTTCATTCTGTCCCTCTCTGGTCAAATTTGAATAAATAAATAAAAGTTGAATAAAATAATTCTTTTAAACAAAGAGAGATTTTGATAAGGTGACCAGATAAATTATGAATACTTAAAATTCAATACCTTTCTTTTCTTTTTTTTTTTTGGTACTCTTGCAAGGATACCTAGAAATGCAAAGACAATAATAATTCCTTTCAAAATAGTAATTAAAGTTATAAATTGCAGGGCCAGCCCAGGGCTTGGTGATTAAAATGGCTAGCTCTCACATAGCCAACTTTGTGGTTTGAGTCCAGAAACTAGAGACTTGAAAAACATGCAGAGAAGGTGTGCATCATGATCAAAATCCTGAAAAGAGGAAGAAATGGAAGAGAAAGGTTGCATTGTGACCATGCCCATGGGAGGTGCTATCTTACTCATTCTCTCTCACTCTCCTTCTGTCTCTCTCTAGTAAGTATACCTGCCCTGCAGCAAATTCTTGTAAAGAATTACATTGGTTCATTGGGAAAGTCATGACACATTTTGCATAGAAAAATAAGTCATGGCTTTTCTCAATATATTACATATATTGATTTGAACAAATGGGCAGGTATACTGTTTTCTTATATGGGAAGACATAGTATCATGAAAGAATCAACTTTTCAACAATTAATAGGTACATTTATATGATTCCAAATAGAATCCCATAGGTGATTGTGGGGAAGGGGAAGAGAGGAGTTACATAAAATTATATTAAAGCATAAATGGAATTAACAAGTACTTGATAAATATGCAAAGCATGTTCAAAAAAGATCATAAAAGCAGGTATATCTTTACTAACGTATCAGCATATATACTGTAACACCTCCTTAATTAAATCAATATGTTTAAGATATAGCACTAGATAAATAAATCAGAGATTCTGGAACTAGCTCCCACTTCTAGATTCTAGATCTGTAATACGTGAGAATTTGGTAAACATTAAGGTGATTTTTCAATTTAGTAAGGAAAGTTTGGATTAAAATTCTGATCTTGCAACTGGCTCTTTATCTGGAAAAAAAGGGGGGGACTTCTATCTAATGCCATTCAGAAAAATAAATTATACATATATTAAAGACAAATCTAAAAAATAAAACTGTAAGGATCTACAAGACATGTCTTAAAATTACAACTAAGTTCTAGGAAAAGGAAACTTCTGTAACCCCAATTGGACACTCAAAAGCTATTCTTGACCATTTAAAAATGAAAAAAAGATATCTGTTAAAAAATAAATCTTATAAAAGGGGTAAACCATGGATAGGAAATGGAGGAAGAACCTGACTAGACATTTCACAGAGTTGCAAATCCAAATGGTTAACAAATAAATGAGCACATGTTCAATGCACTGGTAATTATGGAAATTTTTTAAAGTAAGAGTTAATATCTTTAATTTTTTAGTATGGAGAATACTAATAGACCAATATAACAATTGCTGATAGAGAAGCAGAAAAACAAAGATTACTGTTATCCTTAGCGAGAGGAGAGTAAATGATTGGAACTTTTTATGAGAGCAAACAAGCTGCATCTAGTAAAATTAAAAATGAATGTACTTTTACTTAAAGTTTATTCATTTTCCCCCCATTAGATAGACAGCACCCCTGGGCTGGCCGCTGGGCACATATGCACTCAACATGCTCAGGGAGGGCAGGGACGTGAGCCCAGGACCTTCCTTACATGAGTCCTTTTTGGTTACCACCGCACCATTACCCAGCCTGTACACATGTTCTCTTTCACCTAGCAACCCTATTGCTTGGCTCCCTTCCATAGGAATAAAAGAACACGTATATATGTTATATTACATTACAGATGGTTATCACATAATGTTTGTGGTCACAGAGATTGGGAACCAAGCGAATGACTGTCAGTAAGTGGATGGCTGAAGTGACAGGGACATCCAAACCATGAATTACAATGTGAGCCATAAAAAGATTACGTTAGTGTCAAACCCAAGGTGCTTAGAAGGCTTTCCATGATGTATTGTTTAGCAAGGAAGCTATGATGAAGAAAAATGTGTATAATGTCCTCTTTTTCTAAAACAAGTCATGATGCCCAACCAGTCTGCGTATTGTGTGCAGTGTGGTATAAGCAGGGTGAAAGAGGGTAGGGTAGGGTAGTGGGCTATTAGCCTGGTGATGAAGGGTGGGGGTTAGGATTTGAAGTCGGTGGGAGAAGAAAGTCAAGTGAAACAGGAAAAGAAAAAGGTAGGGGCAGAAATCGTATGCATAAACTCACATTTCTGCATTGAGGCTAAGCAGTGGAGTTGAGGTTGTAGAATAGGAAAGTGTATGCAGCTTCAAAAATGATTGATAGGCACCCCTTCTAGCCATAAAGCAGACAACTTTTGTTATTGAGAGGGAAGAGAGCCCAAGCTCTCTCAATCGATCAATTTCTCCTTGAAACCTTTGTAGCTCATTGAAATCCCAGGGCTGCTTTCCATCTGCTCTAAGCTAAAGTCAGACCATGAGCATTTTACTGGCCTTGCTTACTGTATCTCTGAGTGCTTGATCCTAACAGACTTGGAAAAGGCTTGTCTGGCTAGATACTCAGCTTCAACATAACTGATGTGAAGTCAATTCTCTTAGCGGCTTGCATCCAGTTCCCACAGGCTTGAGAGCTTACTGGCTTCACGAGTCTGGATTCGATCAGATGCCAATGCTAAGCAGCGACCCTGTCTCTGAACCATACTCAGAACCAAGTAGGAGAATGACCCACAGGCCACATCTAGCCCAGGTGGAGTGATGTGTTTATTCATACTCTTCCACACTCGGCTTTAACTTTCTCACACACAGATGTGAGCATATCCTACACCTAGAGAGTACAGGTAAAAGTCAAAGCTTCGAAGTCTCAGGAGACACTGTCTGTCCAAGAACTCATTGTCATGGAAGGAAGTCTGGCCCCTATCCGTCCTGGCCCTGCACCGTGCCCTCAGCCAGCCATCATCGTGGGCGCCTCAGACGTCCTCCCCACACCTGCTAGCTGATGTGCCCCAGCCTCCTTCACCCACACCCCGTCATCTTGTCTGGACCTGCAAGGCTGGTACTGTGCAGGATCCAACAAGAAGGGGGGGGGGGTCTTTGGTACAAGGCTCCTTCTATGATTCTCTCTTCTCTTTCCCATCTTCTCTCCCATGAATAATGTTACAGAGCTCTGGGTTGTGTATATTTATCTGTATATCTGATCCTCCACTGCCTCCATTCTTGCCTTGATAGCAGGGAGGAGAAAGTCCAGGAAGAGGGAAAAGGCAGCAGTATAAAAAGCACGCATCAAATCACTGATCTGCACATCATCTGCACTGATGCTAAGCGGTGGCGTTGAGGTTGTACGCTAAGGAAGTGTGCGCAGCTCCCGAATGTCTAATAGGCACCCCTTCTAGCCATCAAGCAGACAACCAGAAGTTCCTAGAGGGCAGACACCTGCCTTCACTCCTTTCTTCTTCCGTTCTTACATCTCTACTTTCCTAGTGCCTGTCATCTTATCTGTCCCATAAGTCATTCACAGTAAATGTCTGTTGAATGAAAACAAGGGCTGAAGTGTATTGTGCTTCCTGAAATGTTAGTGTAGAAATCAGGATGAGAAGCTGTAAAGTCGTGTACCAGCTAGCCCTAACAGAAAACAGCACACCTCACAGAGCTGACCATCCCTTACAAAGGCAGTTGTTAACACGATGTTTTGACTAAGTATTTGTGATGATGTTTTTACTATTCGATGAATTTATTTTATACTGATGAGCTGTTTTAAATGGTCTTTAGTTATTTTCTTTGTTTGGAGGGTGTCTGGGGAGTTTTGAATCCTTGCTTCTCAGGTTCAGACTTGACTGGAAATTAAGTCATCGTTCATAGAACCGAAACCCTGAAGCTGTGTGAGTTGGGAGGGTTGCTCTTAATGGTTCTTTGTGCTCTCTCCAGATTTTCACTGCATTGCCGCCCTTCACTCTGGGAATCTTCGAGAGGTCTTGCACCCAGGAGAGCATGCTCAAGTTTCCACAACTCTACAAAATCACACAGAATGCAGAAGGCTTCAACACAAAGGTAAACAGAATGTGTCACCTCGAGGAGACGTAGCCCTGCCTTTTGTCATTCAGCTCTAGACACAAGTGAGAAGCAGTGAGACCATGTACCTCTCCCTGCCACACACACACACACACACACACCCCACAGTGAACCCAGGGAATTAGAGACGGCTTTTGAAATGACATCCCCACATTGCATGGGGTGCATATCTAAGTTCTGCTTGGTTGACTGCTCTGGTATCAGGGTGGGCAGCGGCATCCATGGCTGCAGTTTCTTTAGGATGAGCCCTCAGAGACTCCCCCTACACTTTCCTATAGCCCTGCTTTGAGGCTGGCTGAGAGCTTGCCTCCTCATTGCTGCATTTTTCATCGTAAAGGAAATGCTTCTTTTCAGTCATTTTTTTCCTTCAGACTGGAGAATCAAAACAAAAGAAAAAAAAGAAAGAAAGAAAGAAAGCATCCAGACCACAGGTATAGGCAATCTTGAGAGGACCTAGGCAGCAGCTGAGTTGGGTGGTAAAGGGATCCACGTATGGACAGCCTGCCAGTCAGGGCTAAAAATGGCCAAGCTTTTAGGTAGGTGTGACCAGCCTGCAGAGGAAGCAGATGGAGGCACAGCTGCAGAGCTGTTTCTGCCCTAGGCTTTTGTGCAGAAGGGGACTAGAAAGTTCAAACAGAAGTTCATCCCCCAGTCCAGTTACAGTACGGTGCAGTGGTTGCATTCGTGATCTGTGGAGTAGCTACTAGGGCCTTAGTAGAGATGGCCCAGGGAGTCAGGCATTGCAGGCCTCCATACCAGAACAATCTCTAAACGCTTACCAAGCCAGATCTCACTGAGAGTTGTCCTTCACAGCTGCCTAACGTTTAACAGGCACATACAAGGCTGGGAGAAAATGGAAGGGCATCCATTAATTCCACTATGTGCCAATACTCAAAGAGATTTAGGTGACTAATTTTATCAGCCCTTTAGTGTGATTCTATTCATGGGAAACTATGACCCATTTTCTCTCCATTATTTACATAAGTCACATCTGTTTTCTGTAGTCTGAATCCAAAGGTCATTTGAAATGGAAAATAATTAGGGAATGGAGCCCTGCCAAAGGTGGTAGAGCTGAGGATTCCTTGAGACTTATTTTGAGGCACTTTGTTTGTAGAGACATCAAGGAAAGGATGGAGTAAAATGAATATTTAAAATGAGAAAAAAAAAATCCCGTTGCTTTATAGTAACATTTTCCCTTTTTGTTGTTGTCCCACTACTACTTGGATTCAAACTCTATGACAATTCCCAAAACAACTTTAGTTTTTACAAAAATTCAATCTGGCTTTGGGACCAACAGGTGGCAGAGTGGTTAAAGTGCTAGACTCCCACATGTATGACCACAGTTCAAGTCGTGGACCTAGCAGCTTGAAACTCATGCCAGGCATGTGTGTATACGTGCCCCAAATCCCAATTTGAGAATGCAGAAGGGATTGTGGTATGGCCATCCCCCTGGAGAGGTGATTTCTTACTTTCCGTAGCTCAGTCTCTAGACTGTCTCTCTGGAGAGCGCACATGTCCTATAGCAAAAATCTCCATCAAAAAAGAAAAAATTTTAATCTGGATTTGATAGTTCTATCATCTCAGTGGTTTTAAAGATGACTGAAATGTATTAATTAAACTATAGAATAAACTAAACTGTGTTCTTTTGGTTGACATTTCAATCATTAAAATAAAGAGAAATTTTAAATGTACATGATACTAAAAAAAATCCTAAAAACTAAAGAAAAGGTTGAATGAGAAGAATTTTAAGAAGTAAAGCAGTGGCCAGTAGGTGGCATAGTGGTTAAGATGCTGGACTCCCACATGGCCAACCACAGTTCAAGTCCCCTACCCAGCATCTCGAAAATCATGCCAGAACATTTGCATGTGTGTTCTAAATCCCAAGACGAGAATGGAAGAGATGGGATTGCAGCATGGCCTTCCCCAGGGGGGATGATTTCTCACTTCTCCCCGCTCTGTCCCTCTCTGGCAAGCCCATGTGCCCTATGGCAAAAATCTAAAAAAATAAATAAAACAAAAGGGAATACCATGTAAGCATTTGTAGCTGATTTTGAACAACACAGGTTTAAACTTCATGGGTCCACTTACTATGCAGATATTTTTCAGGAAATATATTGAAAATATAGTACATGTGATACTCGAAATATATTGGTTTGCTGGAAAAGTCATTTTTTATTATTATTAATTTGACCAGAGAAAGAAATAAGGGGCAATGAGAAAGCAAGCCACCAGATCTGGGACCCAAGCACACACCACGCCATCTGCTGGCCCCCCCTTATCATCTTTTAACATTTTCTTTTTATTGGTTCATTTTGTTGTAAGAATACAATATATGAGGAATCCTCATAAAGTTCATAGAAAATGCATATTAAGAATTATGCATAATTTTCACAATTTTTTGTACCAAAATAAAGTCGGACTTTAATTCCATTTTTCTCACAAATTTTTTTTCATCGATCACTTTTCTGAGCAAGAGAGACACAAGGAGACACAGAGATAGTACTGACACTCTCCTAGCCTCAGCCAGCTCTGGGCCATGGATACACACATGCCAGGCATTCTCAGGAAGTTCTCTGGATGTGAACCTAGAACCTTCTCACGTGGTCAGCCAGCAGTGTGTTGTGTTTTACTCTTGTGCCACCCATTTTCCACAATTTTGGAAGTCTCCTCAAATATTGGGTTGTCGGAAAAGTCATGGTGTATTTTTTTCTATGCAAAATTGCATCATGATTTTTTCAACAACCCCACGTACGTAACAGCCAAGATATGTGTCAATCAACTGTTTATCAATAAGACTTCTAGTTAACAGTGGGCTATTAATGGTAAAGATTTGAAGGAGTCAAAAGTTATACTTTGCTTTTTGATGATGTGGGGAGCCAACACCCCTAACCTCCACACCGTCAACGGTCAACAGTACATGTAAAATGTTTTTTTAACGCTTTCAAAAAAGTACACAGTTTTAATTTCTTGTTAGCCATTTTGACCTAAGATCCTTTTTCTGGAGGATTGTGAAATCTTGTCATTTCTCCTCTGGTGCTTAAAGAACACTGATCATCATTCATTTTTCAAATATGACTTGATCGTGCGTTAGTCTGCACATATTTAAATATTTCTCTGTGTCTTTGTATTAAAGTCATATTGTCTAGAGATAGTCCACTTGTTTGTATGTAAAAATGAGGAAATAGTTGTTTCAGGTTTTTATGGTTTGTTCAACATAAGAATAACATGCTACTCAGGGAACGGCACAGCCCTGCCAGGATCCCTCACAATGCCGGGTTTGTTGCACAGAGACCAGGAGTACTGGGCAGCTGCTGACTCCCTCGGTTTGTTTTCCCTTAGGTTTTCTGGGGTCACTGCATCAACGCCTTGGTCCACTCCCTCATCCTCTTCTGGTTTCCCATGAAAGCGCTGGAGCATGGTAACGACTTCATGATTTCAACTGTCAGCAAGGAGCTTTGCAGCCCCTCTGGTGCCAGTGTGTTCACGATTTGTTTTTTCCAGTTCCGCAGAATGAGAGATCACAGGGACAAATTTGAGAGGAAAAACATACCTAAAATCTAATGAGAGCGAGTCCCAGGTTTACAGCTTGTAGGTTTCACCGGTGTTGACTTGGAGAACCCATTTCCTTCCCAGTTGAATGGTTAGTTTAAATGCTGGGAATTGTAAACTCAGGTTTTATAACCGTTTGAGTCAGGATCTGGAAGAAGAGCACTGCACGCTAATGAAATGTTCAGCAATGTTGTCTGTGAGTTTGAAATTCCCCGTTAACTCCTTGCACTTTCATTTTCCAAGCCTCCTATGCCGATACACAAAGTAACTTTAATCTCGTAAGAGTTTATTCTTATTTCTAGTCTCCTTTCTGAATCTCCTTTCCTTCAGGTATACTTAGGAGGTTTTACTTTGAGGGCTAATTCTCAGATTGGCTTTAGTCTTTCTCTGGAGCTAGCAGAGGATGTCTAAGAACTGTGCGGACTTGTGCTGGTTCTCACTTGTTACTCTATAACATAGCTTCATAAAGAGATGCATCTTTAGTCTAAGAAAAGGAAAAACGTCTCATGAGAATGCTACTCTTTCATCCCTCTCAAATAGTAATAATCCCCCTGGGAAAAATTACTCCAAATGTTGACTAGACAAGGCCTCTTATTGTTCAAAGAACCAGAGAATATAAAGTTTCCAAGCTTCTTTGTTTCTGTGTCAGTGTGTTTTATGCTTCAAACAGAAGTGATTCATCCTCACTGATATTCTTTAACCTATTAAATACTGACAGCTAGAGAAAGCGCATGCACAGCCAATTTATTGGGACCTATTCTTTCAATTTCATCCAAACTCCTTTTTCTTCGAGGGTCCCTAAGTCTTCAGATCAGAGAATAAAATGTTCTACTTCCAGCCCCCTCCCCCCCCAAAAGAGAACATTCCCGTGAAATCATTTTCTTTAAACTTAAAAACTTTCCTATGAGTCATCTTTCCTCATAGTGGTTTTCGTTTGTTTTAAAATGGTTCTTATAAGTGAAGGTTTGTAAGTTTAAGAGTGTCGAATGTGGTTTTGTTCCAGAGATGTTTGGGGGAGAGATGGAATAGTGATGGGAAGAAATGTGACTAAGGAGTATAAGGGTATTTGGGCAAGAGTCCTCTTGGAATAGTGATGGGAAGAAATGTGACTAAGGGTATTTGGGCAAGTGTCCTCTTGTACCTGAGCCGAGGCGAGACCGTGACTGGCGTGGACTGGCCACACACACTACATCTGGACCCCTTCCCCTTCTTATCTAGACATTGTTCTCTGTTCCCAGCTCAAAAGTGCTGGCCTTTGAATTCTCGGAAGTTTTTACAGGATGGTTATTTACCTGCCTCCTTCTAAAGAAGCTAATGTGGACCCTCTGCAGTAGAGATATTGGCTTTCTAATCTTGGAGTTAGTGCTTTGAGTTTGTGGCTTATAGTTTATAATGAAATGGCCGTAGTTTGTCCAAAAATTCCATGGAAATCCATTCATCCAGCTAATGTAGTTTCAAAGAGAGTAGACTCCCAGCAGGTACTAATTTACCTAACAGATACCAGCAACCGGATTTTAAGTTAGGTTCTGCCACCCTTGTCTGTTTCTCCCAGATTTGGCCATTTACCTAAGTAGCCAGCTAGGAGGAGGATTTTATTCTTGTTTTTATTATTATTGCCATCATTGTCAATGTCATTATTTTATTGTATGTACTAAGCCCTCAGCCTTGGGGTTTTCTTTTAGTTGGGTGGCAAACAAGAACCTATCAAGGGAAACTGTTTAAAGTGAAATCGGGGCCAGCAGTTACTGTAATGACTATGTCGCTGGACTCCCACGTAGTCGACCGCGGTTCGAGTCCTGGACCTGGTGGCTTAAACTCATGACAGGTGCATGTGCGTGCGTGCCCAAGATCCCAAGAGGAGAATGGAGGAGAAGGGATTGTGGCATGGCCATCCCCTCTGGGAGGTGATTTCTCGCTTTCTATCTCTCTGTCTCTGTCTGTCTGGTGAGTACACGTGCCCTATAGCAAAAAAAAAAAAAAAAAAAAAAAGTGAAATCAATTGCAATTCTTAAGTGTATTGACTGAACAACAGATGGACGTAGGTGGTCTTGTTCATTAGTTGACTTCCTCTAAGAAATTGAATGAACATTTTAGAATTGATTTCTAAATTCCCACAATTCATGCAGAGTGCACTTATTACATTATTGCACATTAAACTTATTCATTCATGTTTTGAGACACTGTGTCAGATTCCCCAGGTGATTAGTAAATATATCAATACGGGTCTCACCTGGGAAGACTTCGAAGTCTGGTATTATTCAAGAGATTCAGTTTGCACATGAGTAACTGTAGTCTGAGGTAGAAAATAACTGTCTCAAGTAAAATACAAATAAAATATCTGATACCAGAGATGCCTTTCATTTGGGATTATTAATGGCTTCCTGGAGGAGTTAACATTTAGGTTTAGCCATGAAGTCCAATGGAAGGTGCAGCCCAACAAAGTGGGGAGGTTTGGGGCAGGTGTGGAAAACAGAGCAGATCGGCACTTGAAAGGTGGAAGAGGCAAAGAGTTTGAGAAGGGAGATGAAGTTGCATAGGGCTTTGACCGTGAGATTAAGAAAGCAGGACTTGTGGCCAGGCAGTGGTAGTGCAGTTGTACCCACGTGAGATGTGAAGAGGCCGCAGGAAGAATTACAGTGAGAGGACCTAGACTCTGGGCTAGGTCAGACTCCGATGAGCTTTCAGCATACTGAGCATCCCTGGCATTGGCAAGTAAATATAGTTACTTCCCATAGTAGACTTAATCCATATATTGAAGCCTAATCTCCAAGGTAATGGTTTTAGGTGATGGAGCCTTTAGGAGGTGACTAAGTCAAGAGGGTGGAACCCTCACGACTGAGATTAGTGACTTTATAAGAGGGTCTCCAGAGAGCTCATTTGTCCCTCCACAGCGTGAGGGCACAGTGAGAAGGTACCCTTCATGAGGAACGGCCCCTCTCAGGACACTGAATCTGCAGGCACCTTGATCTTGGACTTCTCAGCCTCCAGAGCTATGAGAAATAAACATCTGCTGTTTATAAGCCACCCACAAACCCAGTCTGTGGCATTGTATTATGGCAGCTCCAGCGGGCTAAGAGACCTCCTTTTCCTATCCTTGCAGCAACAATAAATCCAAACATTCCTCCCCACACTTCCAGCGTCCCCTATGTGGTGGGCCACACCTCCATACACCCACACTGAGACAGCTACAGCAAGGAGAGGTGGTAATGACTGCAAAAGAGGGAGAAGAAGCAATGAGGTTCAAATCACTAGCCTCTGAGGGGAATTCTTCTCAGCGAATAATTGGAGGTAGGAGAGCTACCTCATAACATTTGCCTGTGATAAGATCCCTCTGCAGAAGCACAAAAATTTGGCAAGAGTATGGTTTTTATGTTTTTTGTTTTGTTTTGTTTTGGAGGGGTGTGGGTGGTAGGAAATCAGCAGTGGAAATCAAGAAAGATTGCAAGTTTGGGACCAGCAGTTGGTGTAATGGCTATGTCGCTGGACTCCTATGTAGTTGACCACAGTTCAAGTCCCAGAACCAGTGGCTTAAATTCATACCGGGCATGTGTGCACGCATGCCCAAGATCCCAAGAAGAGAATGGAGGAGAAGGGATTGCAGGGTGGGCATCCCCCTGGGGGGTAATTTCTCACTTTCTGTCTCTCTGTCTTGTTGGAAAGCACATGTGCCCTATAATGAAAACTCTCAGAAAGAGAAAAAAAAGAAAAAGAAAAAGAAAGGAAAGAAAGATTGCAAGTTTGAGGGGTGTGGGCTATGTCACCTGATTAGATTACTTGGTTATGTGTGCTGATTTACTGTCTGAAATACAAGTGAGTTTTTAATCACACTCTTTATTGCCATTTAGGATATATCCACTTTACTCCAAAGAGGATAGAAACATGGCATCAATTTTTTAAAGAATTATTGTATTTAACTTTATTTCAGTTTGACCAGAGAAGAACAGAGTGAGAGAGGTAAAGTGAGAAAGCAAGTTTCCAGGTCCAGGACTCGAACCACAGTGGCCATGTGGGAGTCCAACACTCTTAACTACCACACCACCTCCCAGCCCCAAAATATGGCATCAATTTGAGACAAATTTGGACTCTTTTAGAGCATGGGAACTCTGGTCTAATAAAAAGAGCTTCTTCAAGTCTCCCTCTACCCCTGCCTCCCAAGTACTGCCTGAAGCCATCCCGGAGACATTCGCCCACACACAGAAGGAGTCTTGCTTGCCCAGGAACTACTGTCCCTAGAATAGCTTCGTTTTTTCATGTGATACTATGTGCATTACGCCACAAAGATAATGCGTCTTCCTAGAAAATTCTGTCTCCACCACCCAAGGAGATAGGTACATATTACCACTGTTCTCTTTGGGCAGGACAACGTAATTACTGAAAAAAATATTTTTGAGAAGTTGTGGGCATGTTGTTCATTCCCTAGAACACCTCCAAGGATTTTGCTTTGCTTACTTTTGCATGGTTTTGGATAGATTTTTCAAAGCACTCTTTTGCTAATGGAGTTTGTGATGATTCATTTCAAGTTACAAAATAAATTTTTCCACTCAAGCAACTCAGCAAATCAGATTTCTTCCAACCATCACAACCTTATGCTTATTCTCATGGTCTGCCTGCAGCTCTTAGCCTTTGATCTGAAAAAGTGATTCTAGGTTAAAACCAAGGATGTCACCTTTTAGGGACTGAAACTCATTAAGAGCCTTGGCGTTGGACCGTATATCCAGTCTGCATAGTTGAGTAACTTTCCTTGGTGTGGAACGTGATTATTAACAAAAGAATTTAAAATCCATTTTGATTTTTACAGAGGAAATTTTTGTATTTTTCTTGATGAAATTTAAGAGGGAGGTGACAGAATATAAAATCTACTTATCAGCA